TCTGAAGTATATGTTTCCAGGTAGTTCAAAGTTAAAAAGCAAAGCTTAAGGATTCTGCTATTGCTAACCACAGACAGTATTTACTTACCTTTAACCAGCAGCTTTCCAGTTCTTATAGAACTTTCTCAATTGTAGAGGGAAAGACTCTATTGGTGGAGATGGGTAAGAGTTGGTGGGGGAATTTAGTTGTGATTGTTAACAGGGTCATGTGTGATGGCAAAAGCTTGGAACACAGAATTGGAATCTGTCAGTTCTGTTATCCTGTTGGACATAAAACAGACCATCTCAGAAGCAGGAGAGGGAATCTTAACCACCATCAAGAAAGAAGAACCCAGAGTAGAAATGTCATTTGGGCCTTGAGATCCCTGCACAGGATATGGAAAGCTATGACACCAGAAGAGTGGCAAAGGAGCAGCAGCAGCAGTACCAGAGCATGAGATAGTGTGGGCTTCCTGGAGCAAACAAAGCTTAGTGCCTTTGGGCAGGAGGCTTGCTTGTGGAGTTGGATGCCTCCAGGTATTGGGTGAGCTAGGTTTCAACAAGCTGATGAAACACTGGAAGCATTCACTTGCTTATGCCAGGATATTTGGAAGACAGCTACTTGGCCAACTGACTGGAAGAGATCCATATCTGTGCCCATTCCAAAGAAAGGTGACCCAACAGAATATCACTGATATTGCATGCAAGCAAAATTTTGCTAAAGAACATCCAACACAGTTGAGCATACATTGACAGGGAACTACTAGAGGTTCAGGCCACATTCAGAAGAGGACATGGAACAAAGGATATCATTGCTGATGTCAGTTGGATTTGGGCTTAAAGCAGAGAATACCACAAAGGTGTTTACTTGTCTTTTATTGACTATGCCAAGGCATTTGACGGTATGGACCAAAATAAACTATGAATGACCTTGAGACGAATGAGAATTCCATAACACTTACTGTGCTCATGCAGAACTTGTACATGGATCAAGAGGCAGTTGTGAGAACAGAACAAGGGAATACTGCATGGTTTAAAATCAGAAAAGGCATACATTACAGTTGTATCCTCTCACCATACTTACTCAATCTGTATGCTGAGCAAATCATCAGAGAAGCTGGCTTATAGAAGAATATGGGATCAGGATTGGAGGCAGGCATATTAACAACCTGTGGTATGCAGCTGACACAACTTTGCTTGCTGAAAGTGAGAACTTGAAGCACTTGCTGATGAAGATCAAGAATTGTAGCCTTCAGTGTGGATTGCAACACAATGTAAAGAAGACCAAAATCCTCACAACTCACCAAGTTAAACATCATGATAAATACAGAAAGGTTGAAATTTGTCAAGGATTTCATCTTGCTTGGATCTACAATCAATGCTCATGGAAGCAGCAGGTCAAGAATTAAAAAGATATGCTGCATGAGGCGAATTCGCTGCACAAGAACTCTTCAGAGTATTGAAAAGCAAGGATGTTACTTTGAGGACTACGGTGAGTCTGACCCAAACCATAGTATTTTCCACTGCCTCTTATGTATGTGAAAGTTGAATATTGAATAAGGAACACAAGAATTGATGCATTTGAATTGTGGTGCTGGCGAGTATTTAAGATACCATGGACAGCTAAAAGGAAACACAAATCTGTCTGGAAAGAAGTATAGTCAAAGTGCTCCTTAGAGGCGATGATGGCAAAATTTCATCCTACATACTTTGGACATATTTCCAAGAGATCAGTCCCTAGAGAAAGACATCATGATTGGTAAAGTAGAGGGGCAGTGGCAAAGAGGAAGGTCCTCAAGGAGACGGACTGACAACAGTGGCTGCAACAATGGACTCAATTGTGGGAATGATTATGGGGATTGGGCAGGACCGTGCAGTGTTTCGTTCTGTCATGCATAGGTTTGGTATGGGCCAGAACCAACTTGATGGTACTTAGCAACAACCCACCACTTGTCTGTCAGTTGGTTTTACTGTAGTTTCTTGTGTGTTGCTATGAATTAGAAGCTATGTCACTGGTATTTGAAATACCAGGAGGGTCACCCAAAGTGAACAGGTTTAAGACTAAGAACAGACAATAAAGAAGGACTTGGTTCCCCACTTTGGAGGAAGAAGCTGCTTGAAAACCAGATGCATAGATTCGAAGCATTGTCAAAAACAGAAAGCCTAAACAAAGGAAGCAGAACGTTGTTGCCATTGAGCTTGAGCACAGGAATGATTGTGAGGATGGCACACAATCGTGCAGTGTTTTGTTCTGTTGTGCATAGGGTTGCTATGGGTCAGAGCTGACTTGATGGCAACAACAAACATGGGTTTGCTGATCCATGGCACTAAAGCTAAGTGCTTTTGGGACTAGAGTGCCCTTTGGCACATCAGTAGTCCTAAAGAGTTTTGTAACATTGTCCAAGCAGGGCAGAGGCCAAGGACCAGAGAACTTCCTTTGGGCACATCTGTGAAAAAGACTATCCTGATAAAAAAATTGCACACTGCTAATTTCTGATCCCAAAATGTAACCTGTTCACTTCCCTGGCAAAGCTCCTAATTGTGAGTTTTGAGTGGCCACTGCAATTAATTATGAAACCCAGCTGAGTGCTATGTGTTGGTATGAGAATTGGTAAGGAAAGTTGGAGGGTGGAGGCATGTCTGACTTCAGCTTTATAGGAATGCTGATGATGGGGATTCTGTCTCCTTCATGAAGTCAGAAGAGGCCAGAAGATGCTGCCCTCCTCCCCTTTTTACATCACAGCATTTCCACTTGCCTCATGTACATCGGAAAGCTGGATAACAAACAAGGAAGACTAATTAGGATGTTGACAAAGAATACTGCCTATGCCATGAACTGCCAGAACTAAAGCTCTGTTGGAAGAAGGACAGCCAGAATGCTCCTTAGAAAAGAAGATGGCAAGGCTTTCTCTCACATGCTTTTGACACGTCATCAAGAGATAAATCCCTGGAAGACATCATGCTTTGCAAAGTAGAGGGTCAGAAGAGAACTGACACCAGTGGCTACAACAAGGGCCTCAAACATGGTAGTAATTGTGAGGATGAGCAGTGATTTATTCTGTTGTACATTGAGCTGGAAACAACTCCTTGGCTCTTAACAATATTATTATTTAATGTTTGTCCTACTTCCGCCCCCACCCCTCGCCATTCCTTGAGTCTTTCTCTGTGGAAAAGGAGGAAGTGAGTTGAGTAGTTCCTATCATGTATTTTATCACCTTTGCCATGTGATACTACCCTTTTCTCATTCTCTCTAAACATGGGTGTGTGGCCCTCCTGCCACTCATTGGTTTGCAAATGACTATCAGTGTTTGTCCTGATAGGATGATGTTTCTTTTTTACCCTCATGACAAATTTTTGTCTATAATCAGGATTCCACATTTCCACCAGTTTGGTTTTGGTAAGGTCTTTTATTCCTCAAACTGGTCAGGTCTTTTGAATGACATATCTTTCTGTTGCTAACTTTTATTTGGCTGTGCACTGATCAGCACTTTCCTGATCTGTAGGGTGACTCTCTGGGTAAATCATGACTATTTTTGTTATCAGTCTTTAACAAAATTCACAAGACACTGAAATATTGGTGATGTTAAGTCAAAACTGAACATATCTCCAGTGTCTGACAGATACCACTGATAGACCTCAAGAGAAACTGACAAGTCACCAAAATGAAGAAAATGTTCTAACATTGTGGTGATTGCACAACTTTTTAATATATTCAAACCATTGCATTATACGGTATGTGAATTAGATGTCAATAAAGCTGTTAAAAAAATTTAAATGAAAAACTGACAAGAATATAAATGGGCTTCAAGCAATTTGTGGGAAAATGGAATTAAAATGAAAATTTCCATTTGAAGCTCCCTTGTAAAGCACCTCAAGCCAAAAGTAAAATAGGAACTTGGGATACAGTTACAGAAACAATTGCTACCATAGCACCTTCTAACCCCAAGCACTGGGAGTTAGGAGGGATGTGACAACCCCTCCCACCCTGTCTTAGTAAGTGGTAAACCCACTGTAGAGTTCACACAAGACTCACAGTGACCCTATGAGACAAAAAACTGCTTCTTAGTTTGTAACCTAGTCAAATCTTTTTTGTAGCAAACTTCATCTTTTGTTGGGTGGCTGGTGGGTTTGAACTGCCATTCTTGCAGTTAGTAGCCCCATGCTTAACTTTCCATACCACCAGAGCTCCTTGTCTGGGTAAAGGTGACTCAAAACAACTTTAATAGACCCAACCTCTACACTGGCTCTTTCTTACTTCCTTACCCCACACAAATTTTATGTAGCCTACAGGTTTATCAAAGAAAGTAGACATTAGTCCTTTACCTCTAGTCTTACCATACCAAGACTGAGCTCCTCACCACCTCAAGGGTTCTGGGTTTTAACAGAAATTTATCCATTGGATTATATTTTGATCTAGAACTACCTAAAGATTCTGGCTCATAATATCTCTATGATGCCACTCCAAAAGGAACTGCATATAAAGTAGCCTTCTATTTATACTTTCCAGACTTATTATTTTCCTAGACTTTGTTGTTCCTTTAGTTTTGGGGGGATGGATTTCCCTTATCCAACCCCTAGCTACCTCCTACTCATCCTTTAGGGCAGTTCCAAAAAGCCTTCCCAAATCCAAGGCTGTCTCAGATACTTCTCCTTTTAAGTCATCACAGCACTGATTACACTGTAGTGTGTTTGCCAGTCCTTTCCTTAGACGGAACATGTTTTCTTGTCCATTGTATCCTGAATGCAATTAATACATTTTCTTTATTTTCACCTGAAATTTCTGGCCTGCTCTGGATTCAACAAAAAAACTGATAGGAACATGCTTCCCTTGTTCTTGTGGCCCTTTCATTATCCTTATTTGGGATAGGGCAATGTTATATGTTCCCGAGAGTGACAAAAACATCATTCAAACTCTACAAACCACCCCAGCCCTTTTTATGTTCTCATGAAAAGTGAGGTTTCAATATTACATTCCTACTTCCTGAGGATTCTTAGTTGTCATAGAAAATACTCATAAAGTATTAGCTTTTTGGTTATTTTATTATGCACCAGAAAATCTTCCAAGGGTCAACTATCTTTAGCACTAGAAAGTGGTACATTTGCAAGTTAGACTGATTGAAGATGTAGTAGTTTACAACCTTTATGGAACTTTGCTCTAAACACTTTCGACTCAAAGAATGTGACCAAAATATTTACAATAATCAGTGCATTCACCAATTACTTTACAGTGTGGACTCTCTGATGGCGTAGAAGGACTGATCGGTGTCTGAAAGCTTTCCCACATTCATTACATATATAATCTTCATCCCTAGAGTGGATTCTCTGATGTTGAGTTAGAGCTGAACTCCTTTTGAAGGCTTTGCCACATTCATTACACTGATAAGGTTCTTCTCCACTGTGAATTCTCTGATGTCTGTTGAGGTTTGAACTCAAACTGAAGGTTTTTCCACATTCATTACATTCATAAGGTTTCTCCCCACTATGTATTCTCTGATGGGTAATCAGCTCTGAACTCTGCCTGAAAGCTTTTCCACATTCATTACATTCATAAGGTCTTTCTCCTGTATGAATTCGCTGATGTCTAATAACCTTTGAGCTTTGGTTAAAGGTTTTCCCACACTCATTACATTCATAGGGTTTTTCACCTGTGTGAATTCTTTGGTGTATAATCAAATATGAACTTTGACTGAACGCTTTGCCACATTCGTTACATTTACAAGCTTTTTCACCAGTATGAATTTTCCGATGTCTAATAAGGGCTGAACTCTGATTGAAGGCTTTCCCACATTCAGTGCACTCATATCCTTTCTCCCCACTATGAATCCGCTGATGAATAATAAGGTATGACCTCAAACTAAAGGCCTTTCCACACTGGTTACACTGGTAGGGCTTCTCTCCAGTATGGATTCTCTGATGTTGTGTTAGAGAGGAATGTTGCTTGAAGCTGTGCCCACACACGTCACATCTATACGGTCTCTCTTCTCTATGAACTTTCTGACTTGTTCTAGAGTTTGTATTCAGAATCAAGCTTCTTTGATGATTATCATGTTGGTCTCTTTTTCCTAAAGATTTATGTGTGATTATTTGACTAAAACTGTCTCCTTTGGAAGGGGCTCTTACTTTCTCGTCTGAAGCACTTCCTTGATGCCACTCTAAATGGTTTTCCTGTCCACCAACTTCTCCAAGTGAAGGTTCTAGGGTAGGTCCCTGTGAATTTTCTCCCAAAATTTCTTTCTTTGGTACTGAATCATCATTCCCACAATCTGAAATGATAAATAGCCAAAATCAGACTTTATATTTCTATAGTCACTACTCACCTTCTACTTGTGAGAAATGGGAAACTTCTATCTACAAAGATGTAATTGCTCTCATGTATCATAAATGGTTTCACTAGAGTTCCCCCTTTCTAATGTATGGCCCCCACCTACAATTTGAATTTCACCCTATCCTGTTCCTGAGAACTCAGCTGACCAGTTATCAATTGCTTCATTCCTATTCCTTCTAACTGCCTATACATTTCCTATAAGCCAATGGTTCTCAACCTGTGGGTTATACCCCCTTTGGGGGTTGAATGACTCTTTCACAGGGGTTGCCCGATTCATAACAGTAGCAAAATTAGCTATGAAGTAGCAATGAAAATAATCTTATGGTTTGGGGGGGGGGGGTCACCACAACATAAGGAACTGTATTAAAGGGTCACGGCAGTAGGAAGGTTGCGAACCACTGCTTTAAGCAATCTCACTCCTATTCACACTAAATAATTTCAGAAGGTTATCTCTACTCATTCTCATTCTATAATATGGTTTCTGCTTCTACTGCTTTTCTCCCACTGGTACTTCTCTCACCATGGTTACCAGCTTCATAGCTGCTTTATCCAATAGTATGTATGATCCAGATCTTATTTAGCTGGCTTCTCTGCAGCATTTGACACTGGGATTCTCAGCTTCCTTTTAGAGGAATTATAATCCTACAATATTAGCCTGATTTCGGTGGCTGTTCCTTCTTAGTCTATAGCTCCAGTCACTGAATTAACAATGATCCTCAAGATTTTGTCATGAGTTCTCTCTACAAACTTCAGTGATCACTTTAAGATAGTAAATCCCCAGGTCCCTAACTCTATCTGAGCTCTTTCTATTGAATTCTAGACTGTCACGTCTAAGTGCTGACTGGGCAAAGGGTTCACACTAAAAACATCATCAAATATATCTTATTTTATATTTTTTATTTACATGAATTGTTTTGACGGTTGTTGTTAATTGCCATCGAGTTGATTTTGACTCATGGTGACCCCATGTGTGACAGAGAATTGTGCTCAGTATTACTTTTGGAAAGGAGGTCAACAACAAGCCTTCCTAAGTGCCAATGGTGGTCTGAAATGCCCACCGGCTAGCTGGTTGTCAAGTACTTAACCATTTGTACTACAGAGAGATTCATGAATTTACATGAATAGCATCACAATTAACTGGACAGCTCAACACTTAAAACTGAGGATCAGTGTCAAACTTCTCCAAAAAGCCAGACTGCAATAAAATGAGTAATAATGCTGATGAATAGAAGTCAGCTTTGATCTTCGTGGGGTGAGGCTATCATACATTTTGATTTATTCACTGTGGCCACCTAGATTGCATGGGCACCTAAGAGGACTACAAGACTCTACTCTTTTTTTTGCCATTAAACTTATTCTCCATTGTGCAGCTAAATACTAAAACACAATTCTCTTGCCGCAAACAATTTGGTTATACTCCACAGCAAGTAAAAAACTGTAGAAATTGCTTAGCATGATATTTAAGTTATTACTACCTGGATCCCACTTTCCTCTTTAGTTTATTTCTCACCATTCCATCCATATCACTACTCCATTCAAGGCAAGATGGACTACCGCCTATTCTGACAATAGCTTGTATTATAGTCTTCTAAATGTATCTTGCTTTATCCTGTTCATATCACAGGTTTCAGCTTAAGATAGCTCTTTCTCCAGGAAATGTTCCTTGAACTTCTAAGATTGGGTTATGAGCTGTCAGATATACCAAATACCCGTTTTGTTAGCTGCCAGCAAGTTATCCCTTAACTCATGGTGACCATATGTACAACAGGATCAGCCATTGTGATCCATATGGTTTTTACTGGCTTATATTTAAGGTAGACCACTAGGCTTTCCTTCCTAGTTTTATCATGGAAGCTCTGCTGAAACCTCTTCAGCATCATAGCAATACACAAGCCTTTACTAATAGATGGGTGGTGTCTCTAACTGAGATGCACCTGGCAGGTGTTGAACTTTGGTCTCCATGAGCAGAACTCTGATTTCCCACAGGGAAGGAGAGAACTCTTATACCTTTGAACCATCACTATTTAGTAACTCCTGTTCTACTGTGACATATTATGTTGCAATGTCCTTTTGCTCATTTACCCCCCTAAAGGTGGATATACAATCCCTAGCACGATACCTATAGTAGCATGTAGTAGCATGAAGAAACAAATGAGGGTTGCTGAAAGCAAAGGTGGTAAAGGTGGGTCTGGAGTAATAAAGCTAATGCTCTCATATGGAAAGTTAATGGAATGCAATTAGAAACCTAATTGATGGAAGGCCCCAGATGAGTTTATATTCCTCACCATTGGTGGAAGAACGGCAAGGTTCCCAGGATTTCAGCTGTCTCTTTAAGGGCTGGAGTTGGATGTTTGTTGACTCTTGGGATGCTCCAAGAGATGCCAGATCCTTCCATGGCTCTGCTGGACCCTGTGGACTAGCTGGAACCTGAAGTCAATAAAATATGGTTAGCTTTTTGAGAACCAATCTGGAGAAACTGCTTAGTAAATATCTCAGAGAAGAGTTCAACAAGGACATCTCTAGGGATGAGAACTAGGGTAAAAAAACAAAACAAAAAACATATAGAGATTTATACTGACCCAGGTAGTCACTTCAGGGCTATGGTTGTTATGGATGGAACTATTTCCCCCCCAATACGCATTGTAAATCCGTACTTGTGTTTACAATCCCATTGGAGGTATGGCTTGTATTCACATGTATTCACATGACATAATTAGTGTAGGCTGTACCTTGAGTCACTCTTCATCGACAGATCAGGGAAATTAAATTTACACTAGCAAACACAGGATAAGACAGATGCCAAGACACATGGAAATCTCTAGTGAAGCAGACTCTGAAGAGACAAGGAGCTTTCTCCAGAGTCCACAAAGAAAGTCTTTCTCCAGAGTTAGCACCTGAATTCAGGCTTATACTCTAAACTGGCATAAAATAAATGTGTTTGTTAAAGTCTGGTGGTATTTCATGTGGCCTTCCTGTTATTACTAGCATCAAATCTCATTTCATCCTACTCTTAGGATGGTACATTCCTGATGCTCTAACACATCACATCTCCTTTGCCCACCTGTTGCCCTGGGTCATCAAACTCTCTCTCCAAATCCTCCAAAAGGGTCACAGCTTCCTCGCCACTTTGTGGACTCTGTTGCTGAACCCAGATCTGTAGCTCCTCGGGCAAGATGCTCAGGAACTGTTCTAATACCAGCAGTTCCAGGATCTGCTCCTTTGTGTGCACCTCTGGCTGCAGCCATTGATGGCAGAGCTCCTGCAGCCGGCCCAGGGCCTCCCGAGGCCCAGGAGTCTCCTTGTAACAAAACTTCCTGAACTGCTGGCGAAACATTTCTTGGAAAGACTGGGTAGTCCCATCCTGTTTAGATTTCTGCTCCCAGGAGAGGCCCTCTTCTACTTTCACTAGTAGCAGTTCTTGTTCCCGGGGATCCTGAGTTCCCAGGGTTGAAAGTACTCTAGACTCCACAGCCATTCTTGGAAGACAGCTTAGCATAAAGCTCACAACTGGGTTCTGGGCTTCACAGTTTCCTTTAGTTTGTCTTCTTTCAACAGCTTTCCTGAAAGATACAAAATGATGGAAGTACAACAGGTAAAAAAACTCAACTCATAAATAATTAAGATCAATTACTCCAGTAATTTATTGTAAGGGATTTGAAATTGTAACTAAAGTAACAATAATCAAGTTACAAACTAAAAATCGATCACTTCATTCGAAATGTCCCAATGTGTAGAATTCCCACCACTAATAGTACCTATGGCTTTAGCAGTCAAAAGACAATGTTACTATTTTAAAAATTATGTTTAAATTTCAATTTCATCAAGGGGGGGAAAATCCTTGGTTAGTGTTTTTAACAAGCTTGTAAACATGAACTCCATTTTTAACAGATAATGTACAGGCTCCAGACTCCTGTGGGCAATGGTAACTATCTAGAAATTAGTACTGAGTTAACTATTTCTAGTTACTTTTTATTTATGGCAAGTGATGTTAAAGTTAGTAATAAAACATGTTTTTAAACGGACATGAATCAGTTGACATAAATAAAAACATTATTCAATTTGTTATCAAGTTTGGGATGCACTGAGTCCTCTCAGTCAACACTGAAGCACGTAGTCTGCTCTGTGCCCTTATTCTGCCACAAACATTCTTGCCCAGAGAATGTGACTGTGGCGGAATTAACCAGCAAGTATCCTTACCACATCATGTTTACAACATGTTAAATACTATCAAGAAACCTGGAAGAAATATAAAGAAGCACCTCAGCGTCCCCCCGGCCCCCTCCCCAAGGCACTGGGAGTAAAATTGCTCTAGTAGACTATGGCAACAAATAATTACTTAGATGTGGTGTGCTACATACCAAACAGGACCTGGTTTTAGGATAAAAGAACATGAATAGCGGGAATGTCCTTGTAGCAGAACAAAGATGGGTAGAATTTAACCATTGCGTTTTGACTTTAGAATATTGTAGCACAAATCTGTGACTAGTTTACCAGCTCTCCTACAATAACCTTTTTTTTATGAACCGTTTACCACCGCATTCGCAAAGTCACGGCGTGGGGAAGAAGTGCTTTCACCCGGAAATGAGGCGGGGGTGTGTGTGTGAGCGCCGGCGTCCTGTGTCCCCCAGACACTCGGGACCGTTACTACGACAGAGCCGCGACCCGGGCCGGGGCTCCTCCACCCTGAGCCCTCCTACTACTGGCGCGCACCCACCCTGTCCGCCCTCGCAACAAGTGCCGCGACCCTGCCGGGAGCCCCGGCGCCGCCGGAGCGCGAGCTACCCACCCAGAGCGGGCAGCCACAAAGACCGGAAGTGCGCGCCGCCGCTTCCGCCTGCGCGCGTCGCTGGCGCGCCCTCTGCGGTCTTGGTTGGTCTGCACCTTGGTCACCAGCAGCCAATCAGCGCGTGAATTCTCTTGTGAGGACAGCTTGAACAGAAGCTGGGGTCGATGAAGAAAGAAGAACCTGGCATCAGGATTGATGGAAGGAAGGCTTATTCGCAACTCACACTGTGCAGATGACAGAACCTTGCTTTCTGAAAGTAAGGATTTGAAGCACTTACTGATGATGGTCAATAACTTCATCCTTCAGGATGGATTACAATTCAGTGTCCTCACAACTGAACCAATAAATAACATCATGATAAATGGAGGAGATTGGAGTTGTCAAGATTTCACCTTGCTTGGATCAATGCCCATGGAACGATATGATATCTATATTAGCTTCCAATAAAATGGTGTTGGGGGCGAAAAGAAATGAAAGGAATTAATGCACTGGGCAAATCTCTTGCACAATTGCTCTTTAAAGTGCTAAAGAACAAGGATGTCACTTTGAGAACTACAGCGTACCTGCCCCAGGGTGTGGCATTTTCAGTCCCTTCACATGGGCGTGAAAGTTGAACAACAAATAATAGACTGAAGAGGAATGGGTGCATTCGAATTATGGTGCTGGTGAAGAATATTCAAAGTGCCACGGCCTGCCAGAAGAACAAATAAATACGTCTTGGAAGAAAAACAGCCAAAATGCTCCTTTGAAATGATGGCAAGATTTTGCCTCACATACTTCAAATATGTTATCAGGAGAGACAAATCCTGGAAGAGGACCATGGTTGGCAAAGGAAAAAGAGGAAGACCTTTGACGATATGGATTGTGAGGATGGCACAGAACCGGGCAACGTTTTGTCACATTGTACATAGGGTCACTATGAGTTGGAAGGGACTCTGTGCTTCCTAATAACACAACAACAACATTAAAATATATATACATTGTAACCATCATGTATCATGACTGCAAAGTCTTGTTGCCTGAGTCCAGGTTGGCTACAGAAACAAATCCAGAGACACTCATATGTGATAAGAGAGAGCTTTATGGCAAAGAGCAATTTTATATTGAGTAAACATCCTAGCAATTCTATATTGAGAAAGCACCCCACATCAAGTCCATAAATCCGATCTTACCCCATATGCCCAATACTAGTCCATAAATTCCTCTCAGACTCACACAGCACATGCAATGATGCCGGATGCAGGAAGATCACAGGCCAGTGGGTAGAAAGTCTTGTGGATCCAGTAGCCATGGAAGCCTCTCCATGTGGCTCCTTCAGCTCCAGGGCTCTGGCTGGCATCAGCGTGGCTCCATGTGGCTTGTCAACAGAAATGCATGGCAGAAAGTGCGGCCCACCTCCAGGTGGAAAGAGAAGAAATTCCAGAATCCTTATGAGAAGGCCACACCCACAGGAAGCATCACAAGGCTGTACCCTGATTGACAGGCTAGACTTCATCCCTTCACTCTCAATACCCTCAAGTTGACACAAGATTATGTAACTACCACATAGCATATCTAACGAAAGCCTTTCTAGGCTTCATTAACCCCGACTTTTGTGATCTCAAACCCATTTCATCAATGATTCTGTTATCTCTTTGCTTTGTGTCTGTTTGGGACCCACTCACTGGAATCACCATGTTTTCACCTGTGTAAGCTGGAGATTTCCCATTCAGACGGCTCTCTAATGCTGAGTAAATTCTCTGAATTTTTATTGAGTGGTTTTCCCCATATGACAGTCTGGTGGTTTCTTCAGTATTCTGAAAGGGGCCCTCCTCTCCGGTGGGTCCAAGGAATCATGAATCAGAATTTGGGCACCAAACTTGAAGGCTCCTTGTGCTTTCTTTACCTCTTTGAGATCTTGGAGGTGCTGTTTAGAGGTGAGTTCTTCTTGGGAGGAACAGCCGCTTTCATTGTATAGAGGTTTTTCTTGAGAAATCATCCAGTCTCTGCTTTTTCTCTCTCTTTCTGCTCATTTATTTAATGCCATGTAATAGCCTTATTATTTGTTGGAACATCAGAGTTGTTCTGTTTTTCTTTTCATTTTTCAAGCATTAGCTTTCGTGTCTCTAGATTTACTTGCAAGTATTCTTTGGTGGAGAATGACACTTTCAAAGAATGCTTTTGTGGTAGAACACTACAGATCCCAAGCTTTGCGTTTATTTGGGTATTGGCCTGTGTGCATCCAAAGGAGTCCAGAAAAGGCTGCCTGTTGGGATAATTTTACTTAGGTAAAAGAATTGGCTATTAGAAGTCTAAACTTCATTTTCCTTTTGATGTTTTATTTTTTGCTCTTTGTTTTCTCAAACATTTTTCAGAGACTGGTAAATGTATGTAATATTTTACTTGTTTTATGGTTAAGTGTTTAAGCCTCAAAGGACTATCACTAACATTTATTCTTTTTTCTCTCTCTCTCGTAAGGTGCTATTTTGTCTGTAGGTTTCTAATAATGATTTTAAGTTATTTTAGAAATTCTAAATAAGGAACAATTTATTCAAATTTTTTCTCTAATAGTCCATTAAGAAAACCAAGACCAAACCTATACAAATATGTTGTTGTTGTGCCATCTAGATAGTACTGATTTATAATAAAGCCTGCCCCCCCCCCAAAAAAAAAGAAAAGACAAAGAAAACTAACCAAACAAACCCGATTCCCTGCTGATAGCAACCTTTTAGGGCAGGGTAGACCTGCCCCTGTGAGTTTCAGGGAATTTAACTCTTTATGGGTATAGAAAGCCACATATTTCTATCTCAGAGCAGCTGGTGGTTTCGAACAACTGTCTTAGGAGTAAGAATCTATGATAGATAGGTTTAGTGTGCCAACCTGGCCAATAGGAACATGTGGGATTAATAAGGTTGCAGTTTGATTGGAGGGCAAAGAGATAAATGGCTTGGCAAGGCCCGTCTCTCTTTC